TATTATATATATATATATATATATATATATATATATATATAGGATATTTTACTGTTAAAGGTTCCCATTCCGGAAGAACAAGTTTGAAATGAATTTAAATTGAACAGAAACCTTAAAAAAACTTTCATTGATAAATATGATGAATTAACTCAATATTTCGCACATAATTTTTCTATAGTATACTATTGATTTAAATAAGTGGAAAAAATTTAAGAACAATTCCAATGTCAATATATGATAACAAAAATTTTGCTTGCTTTAGAAGTCTATTAAAATTTCTGTTGCTTAACATATCCATGTATTATGGAAGATAATAGTTAAAGCTTTAGAGAATCGAATCACTTAATATTCTAAATTTTTTTAAAATGACTTAATCATCCAAAAGATAATAGCAATTAACTAATAACTGAACTTGAACTTATAAAAAGTTTTAACAAAAACATGATAGTTTGTACCCATATTAAACCACTGAAAGAGTTTCTGGTGTATAATTCAACCCTTTTTGGTGTTAAAGTAAACTAACTGTAATTTTAGATGTACAACTGTAGTTATCGTGCTAAAAATTACATAAAATAGACAAAATAACAATTTGAAAACATTAATGAGAATATATTATTAAAAATTTGCTTGCTGTTTAAAACAAAATGTTTTTGTTAGAAAAGCCATTAAATTGATTCAAGTGAGCATGAAAATATGTGTTGTCACTGTCAGTAAACAAACAAGCAAAAAAAATCGATAAATAAATAAAACTGTAACAATGAAAAAGCAATTAAAAAAATGTGACTACTTGCAAATGTTAAGACAACAACACCAAACATGGTGGCAACTATATATACTTAATTTTTTTACAGTGTTTGGAAGAAATTTTAAAAACAAAAATGTTTCTTAATTATAAGCTTACTGTTCCATCAGCGTCAGATGCAACAATAGTTGTAACCACCGTTCCAAGTGGAACTGTATCTTGTAAACGGATGGGCAATGGAACACTTGTAAATACAGGAGCAATATCATTTTCATCCTAAAATAAATTGCAACCAGTCTATAATTGAAATATCCTTTCTAATATTACTTGCAATGATTGGCAAGTATTCGCCAAGAGTAAATAAAATACAAAATAAGTGCTTCAAATAAGTACAGCTTACCTCAACGGATACAGTAACAGTAGCTGTAGCTCTAGGATCGGGTCCATCGTTTTCAAGAGTTCCAACAACGAGAGTGTAAGTGGACCGTTTCTCATAATCCAAGGCAGACAATGTACGGATAACTCCAGTGCTGGAATCAATAGCAAAAATTCCATCCGCCCCTTCTTTGATGATGTAAGTAACACTAGTGACTGAATCTGGATCTCGGGCCTATAATAGAATATAAAATAAATCAAATGATATGTTATATATCAATATATGGCAATAATTTTCTATATCAATGTTAAACATTTTATTTTCTAATGCCCACCTGGGGAATGACCTCTCGTCATACAGGCATTTACAGGGCAGATTCGTTGGCCACTTTTTCAGGGGCACCATATTAGGTGGGCCAACGTTGCTCCCATAGAAAGGACAGATAGTACAGATAATGAGAGAACATTCATGCCATGTCCGGGATTCGAACCTAGAACCTTTTTGATGCAAGGCCAGTTTCCTGACCCCTACACAAGCCGGTCGGCTCATTGTCAAACATAACAAGGTAGAAAAACCAAAGAGTTTTCTTACATGTAAAGACATAATAGTTGCAGTAAAACTGCGCTTTGAGCCGTAATGGCTCAGTAGTTGAATGCACTGAACTGTCAATGTGAAGAACTGGGTTTCGATCCCTGGTGATAGCTTGAAGCCCATCCAGCTTCAGATCTATGGGCATCAGCTTGTCTAAGAAGGCTGACCACATGGCCACCATCATGCTGTTGGTTACGAAATTGTGGAGCCTTAACTTCCATGACTTCCTAGTCCCCCGATGGGTTATTGCGGTAATGTTTTACTTTGAAATTGATATTAATTAAAAATCCCAGTTTTATTGTGATCTCATGTATATCTTGTAAAAGAATTTTTTTATTGATTTTAAATTCAGTTTAAAACTTTTTATGTTGAGTATTTTTTGTACAGATTTATCTTAAATTTCATCNTGTCAAACATAACAAGGTAGAAAACCAAAGAGTTTTCTTGCATTTAAAGATATAACTGGACTGTCAATGTGAAGAACTGGGTTCCGATCCCCGGTGATAGCTTGAAGCCTATCCAGCTTCAGATCGATGGGCATCAGCTTGACATAGAAGGCTGACCACATGGCCGCCATCATGCTGTTGGTCACAAAATTGTGGAGCCTTAACTTCCATGACTTCCTAGGCCCAAGATGGGTTATTGCGGTAATGTTTTACTTTGAAATTGATATTAATTAAAAATCCCAGTTTTATTGTGGTCTCATGTATATCTTGTAAAAGAATTTTTTTATTGATTTTAAATTCAGTTTAAAACTTTTTATGTTGAGTATTTTTTGTACAGATTTATCTTAAATTTCATCGTTTTGTACAGATTCATCATTTTTTCGAAATATACTTTCACCATTAGGAATATTTACGAGAATGTTTATTTTCATACAAAATGTATCGATTAATAAATAGCATGAGGAAAACAAGTTTGCTAGGAGGGAAAACATGAAAGTCGGATTTCGATTTTCTACACTCTCAGAGTTAAAGTAACATAGAGAATATTCTACATAATCATTTTTTTTTCAGAAATAAAAAATTTCAAAATGCAGCTTTTGAACATTTTGCAGAACTCACCAAATTGCTGATGTAAAATAATTTTTGAACCAAAAAGTTTTTAAAATACTTATAGCAAAATAACCTAAATTTAAATAACATGAGAAAAAATACTTTGCTACAAGAGAAAATATGCAGGTCTATCTGCGATTTTCGCTTTGCAAGCTTCTCAAAAAGTAACATATAAAGTATTGTGTATTATCATAAAATATTTTTTGGATATTTGCATGATTTGCAAATCATTGATAAAAATTGACTTTTTAAACCAAAAATTTTTTTGAGAAGTCATATTTTCTTGAAAATAATATTTCAAAATCAAAAAATGAGAACAGTAATACGATATTACAAAAAGTATACTTTTAATTAGCACATTTTTGGTCACCAATTATTGAAGGAAAATGTAAAAGTTATATATATTTGCTTAGAACAAAGGAATCAATGTAAGAATGTATTGTATGCATATTTTTAAATGTTATGGGAAAGTGAATTAATCGAAAAAGTATTTTCAGCTGTATTTTTTTTCATTATACAAACCTTTAAATGAATGACATCGTAATTGGCCTTATTTTCTGGAACACTGGCTTCATAACTAGTTTTTTCAAAGATGGGTTTTTCATCTTGCACATCACTTACAAGAACTGTAACAGATGCTGTTCCGAATCTTGAGTCAGGAGCGCTATCTTTAGCCATCACAAGAAGATGATACACGTGCTGAGTTTCAAAATCCAGGGCATGAATAGTGCGCAATTCACCAGTTAAAGCATCCAGCTTGAAGTCACTGAGGAAAGTAAGTAAATCTTGTTAGTAAAAAAACAAAATATCTGATCAGGGATATCATATATAGGGAACTCAAAAATTTAGTCCACAGTAAAAAATGAAACCTTAAGTTACCTTTAAGTTTAAGGTAAGGGACAATTTTTACCTTTTCGAAACAGTTCACTGCTAGTATGGTTAAAAAACCATGAATACAAAACTATACGGTGTTTTTAACCTTTCACAACTAGCATGGTTTCAAAACCCTTAAAAAAGAAATGTAACTGGACATTGAAGACAGTTTAGCAACTTTATGGTGCTGTCATCTATACGTGAATGACAGCATCGTATTCTAACAGCCCAGGATCACAAATAGGGGAGTATAGGGCACTGGAAACTCTTCTGTCGTGTCAAAGGGAATGAAGGAAATATTGTGATGCCAACGCTGAGACTCAAACCACCGTGCTGTCGCTCATGAGATTGACAGATTAGCCCTCTCGACTATAATATGTACTCATCTGCAAGGAACTAAGTGGCTTCAGTTGGTAGGTCTAGTTGTTGCTATAAAATTATGGTTGATTAACCGTATTAGGTGAAAGCAGTTAATAAACGGTTTTTCTCTCAGTTAATAGTTTAAATAACATCTTATTCATGATTTTTTTTACTTTTTATTTGACTATAGTAAAATAGAACTTATATAAATTGTTATTTAACAAATTTTTTCCCGATAAATTTCTAACAGTGTATAAGCTTCGGTGTTTTAAAATAATAACCCAAATAAAAATTTTGCCTACACCACTAACCACTAACAATATAAAAATGTTGCCTTTTCTTACAGCAAATCTATTGATTTTAAATATTTACGCATCAATATTAAAATAGTATAAAAATATTGAAATTCTAATCTATTTCCTGCAACATTTTTATTTACATTGATATCAATTAAGTATTTGATATAAATATCGTAATGAAATAGAATTGAACTTTACATACTTTGAACCAGATAATGAATACGTTATTTGCCCATTGATGGAAATATCTTGATCTCTGGCCTGCAAAAGTCACATGAATATAATTAATATCGTTAAATACAAGATAATCTCAAATATGAATATTAAATCAACTAGTTAACATTTCAACTTTAATAAAATATTATTTTGCTATATATATATTCTTTTTTTAGTATTTTAATAAAGATTTCAAAAACTAATCAAATTAATCTTTTCTTATCTTAAGTTGCTACATGCACGATAATCTTTTCTTCTAAACGTAATTATTTGCAAAGTTTACTGTTCAATTAAAATACCTATGCATATTTTACACTTCTTAATTTTTCTAATTGCAAATAAGGATTTTCGTTTGAAATTAAGTTTCTAATACAAATGCAAAAAGTCCCTACTTAAAAAAATTGGTTTTATATATTTTTCTTATTATACTGTATTTATTCTATACTATACTATATTTTTTCTGTGTAACGATATACGCAACAAATGATCATTACTTATGATTACTTTGTGTTATTAAGCATCTGAGATACAAAGTAATTACCTGGACTGTTCCTACATAAGCATCTGATAAACCTTCTTCAACTCTAAAAGTATATTCTTGAAGCAAAAACTCTGGATTCTGGTCATTTATATCTGTAACTCGAATATCAACACTAGTCGTTGAAAACTGAAAGATTTGCACTATGATTAGAGCAGCAAATACATAGTATTATAATTTATAAAGAAGCTTTTGTAATAAAAATATTAATTTTCTCACGGTTAAAACTAATATAAAAACAATTAGTAGTGTGTAAAAGAAAAACAGTACACTAAGAAAAAATAACGTTGAAAATTACCAGAAAATGAAAGTTACTTTGTTTTTAGCTCTATAGGAACACCGAAAACCTAAGTAATTTTTACTTAGCTAATGATTTTGGCAAAATTAACAAAGCAATTTGGTTTTATAATATGTTATAAAACTTAGTAAATGTGCTAAAAAATTTCGAAAACCAGAATTTCTGATGAACTCTTACCGTATTAAAAGAAAAATTACGAAAGAAATGCTTTAAATACCGCATTTGTTGGTTTTGTTTATAAGAATAATGGGTTTTTATTTACCAGAAAATTCAATTCCTTTCAATAATGGCTATTTTACTAGTCTTTTTTTTTCGTATAATATAACATTCGTGTTTTATAATGAAACATAGAAAATATAAATAGCACCAAAAGAAAATTATCTAATTCTGCCACTACGCCAGTAACTACCAGTGGTTGGTAATCGTTTAATATTTACCTTATAAAACCTTCATATATATTTTTTTAATTCTGCATTTATCACTTGCCTGAGGTCCTATGCTTGAAAAATCATTTTACATTACCCTGTATAATCTTAATAAAATTTTCCATAAATAGACGTTCTGAAAAATGATTTTTAAAGCATAATTATATGAAACAATTTCGCTCCATTTAGTGGTTTGAAAACTGAAGAAAAAATTAACTTGATAATACATTTATAACACTTTTTAAAATATAATTTATTTCTTGGCGAATATTAGAGTTCTAGGAAAATGCTATAGTTTTATTAGCTAAAGTTTTTAATTATTAATGTAAAAAAAGGACACTGCCTATTTTTTTTCACAGAACTTTATTATTTGGTAGCACAAATTGCAAGAATGTTGGTAACTACTTACGAGATTACTGGGATCTGCAGCTCTGACAATTAAAGTATATGCCGACACTTCCTCTCTGTCTAGGCGTCGCGCTACAAATATTGTGCCACTAAAATAATTAAAATTAGAATTATAAACCAACAGCTAATAAAAATAGATTATAGCATTATTTGCATGAGCGCAAAAATAGTTTATAATTAAAGTTTATCTTATTTATTTAAAATTGAAATACTATTAAATGTTTTATGAAAATTTCGATTTTCATCAAAGAATTTGTAATTTACCTTTTTGGATCAATTGCAAAATCATCATTTACATTTCCTTCTACTATTGAGTATGTAATGTCATCTTTTTCTGGATCCATTGCCTACACAAATATTTATAATTTATAATCCCTATTAACAAATTTCAGTAAGATAATTATCTATAAATTATTGCAAAGTATATGACCAATTATTATCAAATGTAAGGTTGCATGGTAAAATCAGACGTATCTATAAATTGAAGATAGTTAACCTGATGTATAATAATCAAATTCAAATTAAGTATTAATGCTATATAGTCTTAAAATACCTGAAAAATATCTGGCAAACACAAGTATTTTGCCCCGCTGGGTATGAAATCTTACTTCACTAAAATAAAAACAATCTCTTGGACTTTATAATAATCGCTCATTTTATTTGCGCTCTTTACATGGTGTTCACCAGCACGCACACCGATGATCTCTCAGAGCACTTCAAAGAACACATTTTCAAGGCTCGTATGGATGGCGCTTTAACAACAAGCATGAATTAAAAAAAAAGAGAGAAAGAAAAGAGATCAAGAAAAAATAAAAGAATGGGACAATTTTTGGAATTTCTTTTTTAGTTTGGTCACCATAGGCGGCTAATCGACCCGCGAAGCGGATTTATGGCTTTTGGAGAGTTGCAGATTTTGTCGAGAATAGTGTTTGTTTCGATTTAAGGTTTATACTAACCCGTTAAGGGTATAGGAATTTATTTTTGCTTTGCTTATGTGTGGTCGCTATGTTATATAAACGTTTTTTTATATAAAAAAACTGTTTCTTCAATATAGCTTGATACGTTACAAGGCAAATAAAAACCATTGCAATTATCATAAATGTTGAACAAATTTTGAGCAAAAGTTATGTACCAGAAACAGTCCTAATGTTTTTTTTAATTGCTTGTAATTTCACAGTAAAAAAAGTGTTGAAAATACGACCAAAGTTTACTGTAAATACTTACAGACAGAGAAATGACTGTAGATTTTAGTGCTGCTCCTTCACTAACTTGCGCATCATATCTATCTCGAGCAAATACTGGTCCTCCAGAGTTTGGTCCTGATGTCACTATTACATCCAATATTGCTTGACTGAATCTACAAATGTATCATAAAGAGTTACAAATCTACAAATGTATCGCATAAAGAGTTACATAACTCAATAACTCGTCTCAGCATTGATTTCCCTAGTCATAGACTCTCGTATGTAAATAATCGTATGTTGCTTATTCATAAATAATAACAATCGTATTACACTGTAAAAAATAGATACTCCAATTTCTTGAAATTTTCTTCGTTTTCGACGAAACCGCTTCTTGCTATATAATCAGAGCCACAAGTTCGTTTAAGTGACGGAATGACTATCGTCGATTCTTCGAGGAAACGAATTTCGTCAAAAGTAAAGAATGATTTCGAATTTCGACTTTCTAATTTCGTTAAATTAGGAATTACTGTCGTAGATTTGAGGTGGTGAGCTAGAGATGAGTTTCTGAGTCGGGAAAGCATTTTCGTCATATGCTTGAAAGTCGGCGTTTCGATACAAATCACGTGGATTTGGAGACGAAATGATTCTCCTAATTATCAAAATACAACTCAAGGATTACTGAATCGTATTTCTGAGAGTGTACATGCATCTCTTGTATAATGCTTTCAACATCGTTTCACAAATGAAAATCTGGAGATGATGAGGGCCAACGCAACAAGTTGAAGTCTTTACGTTTTTTAAGCTATCCTGTACATTTCTAGCACAATTGCAGACACCATTATTCTGCCAGAATTACTTCTCGCAATTAATAATAATAACCATCAGTGGATCAAATAACGATGTTTAGATATGGTATCGTATTTGTATTGCCCCGCATACGAACTAAATGTCCTAAAGTATGCCAACGTTACACTACCCCACTAGCATTAACACATTGAATATGGAGTCATTAACACAAACTTGTAGATCAATCATAAATTGTATTAAGTAATGTACAATTATATAAAGTAATATACCGAATTATATAAAGTAATAAACCAAATTTGAAGTTTTATCTCAGTATCAGCGTTTTAAATTTTTAAAATTTATATTAGTTTTTGCATAAAGCCGTATATCAGAAAATTTTCATTTCCTTTAAATAATTTCTAACTTAAGGGCTCAATTGTTCCAGACCCATAAAGTTTCTATTAATGTTACTAATATTTAGATGTCTTAGCAAGCTCCCGAGAGCAATAAAATGCTTAATAATTGTAAATTTCTCCAAGAAACACTTATAGAATCATTTTTGGTAAAACTATTGAGCGAGAATAGTGTAGTACTTAGGTATCAATATTGTTTCAATATCATTCATAAAGTATTGTACAGAAAACTGTAATTTTGTTTAGCTAACATAACATAGAGTAAGTTATGTTTAATAAATATATTTTGAATGAATGAGTATGTGAAGAAATATAATAATGTAATTAGTATATGACTTGAAATGCTATTTGAAGGCAGTGTCTCTTGTTATGCAGTTGTTAAAATTATCTTAAACTTATTGATAATCTCAAGGTTGACAAAATAATAGTTGAAATTAAATATTTTCCTATGTGTAGCTCTGCTATGAAATTTCCAACTACATATGTAGAGGATCATAATAAAAAAGTTTTTAATACAGCAAAATAGTTTTTACTAAGCATTTACTATGCATGAATTACTTTACATTACACAACAAATTTGAGCGACCATCAAGATAGTTCAAATAGATTTGAATATGTCATTAAACAGTACCCATTAGGTACAAAATACTGCACTATAAGAATCCACATTTTAATTTATATAAGCAAGGCATTATGACGCATACCAGCGCCGCTAACTTTTAAATTACAGATGATTATTTCATTTTTCTTTCATCAGGTTTTATTTTGAATGACATAAGAGAGTGCTGTCTTTAAATGNTGTCATAATTATATTAGAAATGGAAAACTCACCTTGAATTGAACAACGTTGCACTTAGCCTTTCATATTTGTTATCAGTTATTTTAAAGACATTTTGAAACACATACGGAATGATAATATTTTTTTTAAATATAATAGCACAAAAATGAAAAAGGAACTCGGGTACATTTATCAAGAGCCACAAATAATCCCTCAAAGAGCCGCAGGTTGGCCTGACATAGAGTATTGTACATAACACTGATTGTAATTTTAATTAGCTATCATAACCTAGAGTAAGTTACGTTTAATAAATATATTTCGAATGAATGAGTTTGTAAAGAAATATAAGAAATTAGTATATGACTTAAAATGCTATTTGAAGGCAGCCTCTCTTGTTATGCAGTTGCTAAAATAATCTTAAACTTATTGATAAACTAAGGTTGTCAAAATAATAGTTGAAATTAAATATTTTCTTATCTGTAGCTCTACTATGAAATTTTCAACTACACAGAGGGTCAAAATAAAAAGTTTTTTTAATACAGCAAAATAGATTTTACTAAGCATTACATTATAGATCAAATTTGAACGAATATCGAAAAAGTTCAAATAGATTTGAATGTGTCATTAAACAGTACCCATTAGGTACAAAATACTGCGCTATAAAAATCCATAATATACCACAAAAATCCGCATCTTCATTTTAAATAAGCAAGGCACTATAACGCATACTAGCGTTAACTTTTAAATTGCAGATGATTATTTCATTTTTCTTTTATCAGGTTTTATTTTGAATGACATAACAAAGTGCTGTCTTTAAATGACGGACATAATTTGACGAAATTTGCTTTTAACTACTTGAAAAAAAGATTTTTTTTAAAAAAATTAACATGAAAAGTTCTATAAAATTTTGAAAGTGATGTTAATGTTTCGTTACCTTCCACCGGGATCTGTGGCTTGAACTGTAATACTGAATTGCTGTCCAGCCATAACTTTTTCTACCGCTTGCACAACGCCTGAAGTACGATCGATGCGAAACTTTGACAGACCTTCGTTAGAGACGTGGTATATAGAATAGACAACTTGCTCCAGACCATCAGCATCATCTGCATCTGCTGCAGCTACCTAAATTCAAACAAAATCGTCATTGATAGAAAGAAAATATGTAGAGGAAGAAGTCAAGCTTCCATAGACATGATGTAAACGGGTTCCCAAAGAGTTGGTACGGACAATGTGTATGGAATAAAAAACAATGTTTAAGGGCGAAGCATTAACGCATAGGTAAGATTTTTTTTTAAATTCTGGACACAGCTTGATGTGCCTATTTAGGAAAATAGACATAGTTCGAAATGCGAAGCTTAAAAATGGACAGTCATGTTTAGTCATGAATGTTCAGTTTCATCTTCGTAATCAGAACTTTAAATGATTAAGTGGTTGCAAAAAATCAGAATTCGAACAACATTATTTTAAAAACCACTATTATAAACTTGTGACAACCTTGGAAAAAGACAGAAGACTTTTAATGTCTTCTATCTTTTTTGAAAACTGATGACAGTTCTACCTGTTCAAAAAAGACTAATTAAAAAAGTATTCTGAGGCAAATGAACGATATCACATAACGAATTTATTTGGAATCAATAGTTTATTCTGTTAAGACAAATCTTTCCGTAAGAAGAAGAAAACTGAAAAGAAGTCTTTTTTAGAGAAAGTCTGAAAAACGGAATCAAATGTTATATCCATTTTCTTAAGCAAGCTTTTCAAGTTGTGTCCATTTCCTTAAACACAATGGTCAAGCTGTGTCCATTCTCTTAAACAAGCATTGCCAGCTTGCAATTAGCTTCTTGAGCAAGTATTCTAGCAACAGCCTCTTGTGAGTCGAGTTATTCATGGAAGTTAAAGCTCCACAATTTCAAGATCCACAGCACGATTGTAGCAGTGTAGCATAATGCCACATTTACTTCTCCGACAAGTTGATATACATCGATTTACTGCTGAGTCTGCTTCGCTGAGAATCGAGCCTATTTTCAGTGCCTTTAACCACTGATCCATTGCGGCTTTTAAAATAAAATTTTATTTCCAATTATACCATTCAGTTTTAAGGATGCGTTTAACATGAAATTCAATAAAATTTTAAATAATACGGTATTTTCAAAAGTTTTAACCATTTGAATGAACGTTACCTTTGCTATATTTCGTGTTCCATCACCAGCAGGAATCGAAACAGGACTCAAAGGCGCAATAACTGGAGAATTATCATTGATATCATTTAAATGAACACTCAGAGCAACCGGAGCACTAGCACCATTCTCAGGTGCACTGTCCGTCTGTCGAGCAATCACCTGAAATGGAAATCCCTTCTGTTAGTCGCCAGTCTAGTTTTCCTCGCAAAAAATAAGTAAAAAGCATGAAAAATAACTGATTACCAATATTTGTAACATTTTTAATAAAGTTAATTTTATGAAATTTTTTCAATTTGTTTTTTTCTCATTTCAAACATTTAAATTTATAATATATTTTCATGAATAAATAAGCAAATTCTCAGTTATAATGATAGTAAATAATCCAAAGAAATCGATTTGAGACAAACGAAAAAAAGTAAATGTATGGTGTGTTGCTTTCTCTTGTTTTAGCCAAGTTTCAAAACTTGTTGCAGAGTTTGCCAATAGATGGATTGCTAAATAAATCATTATATGAAATTTATTTCAAAATGAACACTATTTGTAGCAACAGCGTGGCCCAGTCTAAAGACAAAACTAAGAGACACCAGTGCAAATATTATAGATGGCGTAGTCTGATACGCAGCTGTAAACAATGTTTTGTATTTTTATCAGACAGTAGCGCCATCTTTTAACGAAATTGGTATTTTTTTTAACTGAAAGAAGAAAAAAATCAACGCTGAACGCAACAAATTGTATATTTTTCTTTAAAATTAATATTTTAAATCTGTCAATTTTGGGTTACCTGTTAAACAAATAAATAAATAAATTACCTGAAAAGTATATTTGCTTGGATTTGGTGGATCACGGTCCAAATTAGCTTCATTGACTACTAAATAGCCATCAGAGTTCACACGAAATAGAGGAGTGGTCACTTCAAATGCGTACGCCATAAGTCCATCTTCAGCACTCTAAAAATATCAAATATCATACTTTTATCATTTCGTTACTTTTTGGTAATATTTGAGCACATTAACTTCAGAAAGATATTTTTATACACATTTAAGAAAGATATTTATACACACTATAAAATATTATTACTTAAAAAAACTTTTAAAAACGATGAAGAGTTAAAGTTTTAATTACGAAAATATACTCGTAGTTTTTGTTAAATAACTTACTATTACCAATATGACTATTTTTAATTTTTTGCGTGAAGTTAGAATTTTTTTTAATTATTTCACTTTATAGTAACGATCTATGTAAGTTAAAAATTATTTCTGTTGTTCTTTTAAAAATATAGCAATAAGAGTAAAAGAAACATTCTATGTATCTATTCCCAAAATCTATTAATGAGCTAACTTATAGGCATTAATAGAATTAAATATATTTAAAATAGAATTTGTAAAAAAGGTTTTATGGAAAATAAATATAAATTCCGTGTGAGCAAAAAACTTGCTCGAACAAAAAGGTTCGTAGTTAGATTTTCACGCCGACAAAGTATTGCTTTAATACAAAATACACTGAGAGAAAAAGTATGACTGAAACTACTAGAATATGGAAAATTTACCGTTTTTTGACTGTATAGGAGCACCAAAAAACTCGGTAGTTTCTACTGAAACGCTTTGGAAATGATTATGGTGAGAGTAACAATAATATATGGTTTTATAATATTTAATAAAATTTGATAAATGTGGTAAAAACTGATAATTTTATCATGATACCTCAGTACCATTTATTCGGTTAAGTTTACTTTTTTAATTTTAAATCTTTCATTAAATATGTGAAAATGATAACTATAACTTTAAAATCATAAATTTCCGATAAACCATTACCATATAAACGGAAAAATTACTAAATGAATGGTTTAAATTCTATAGATCATAGCTTTATTAACCAAAATCATGTTTTTTCTTTTTCTTACACCAGAAATGTTATTACCATACAGTACGGAAATTTTACCAGAATTTTTTTTTCAGTGTAGTAATCCCCGTAATATTTCATCCATAGGAGACTTCCTTTTCGCAAGATTTGGCACTAACGTAATTGCGTTCCGTCACCACGAGATTCTGTCGATATAAGATTATTAAGTAGTCGTCAGATTTTAACCCTTGGATTTTTTCCTTCTAAATTTTGCAACAAAATTCTTGACTCATTCTAACAACGATAAACCTGACGTCTGTAAGCTACTTGAACATAGTTGCAGACCAGGTTCACCCATTCATGGCAACAGTTTTTCCTGCGGGGAATGGTGCTTACCAACAGGATAATGCACAATCTCATAAGGGTCGAATCGTCGAGGAACATTACAGTGACTTTCAAGTCATGTCTTGGCCCCCAAATTCACCTGACTTTAATTCAATAGAGCATTTGTGGTCCTACTTGGAAAACCAAATTTGTGCTGCCACGCTACCCCCTCGCAATGTGAGGAATTGCAGGACCAGTTGGTGAGTGCTTGGTACCAGATACCTCAGACTACTTATCAGGACCTTGTGGAATCAATGTCTCGGCGATTGCTAGCAGTTTTGAGAGCTAAAGGTGGTCCGACATGTTATTAGCAGGGTGGTCATAATCTGCTGGTTCTTCGGTGTATATGTTCTTAACTAATTGGGAACACACAAAAAAATTACTCACTAGATCTGCGTCTGTAACTTTCAAAGCAAGTGGAATGTTTCCTTCCCTATCTGATGTGACAGTTGTGCCAACAGGAGAATTTTCATTTACATAACCTTCCATTGAAGTTGGCGTCAAAATAGGAGGATGCATATTAACAGCTTGAACTTCAATTAAAAGTTTAGCTGTTGAAAATCGTCGGCTATCCGTCATTTCTTCTGCCTGATAAAAACAAAAAAAAAATGGTACCGAATACTAATATGTAATGATACTAATAAACTATGAAAACTAATACATTAAGCACAATTATGCTAGCAAACAATACAAACTGATCTGTTCTTAAATGTGCTATGAAAAAATATTTAGTGTAGTAATTTGTAAATATCCACAAGTTTTACACTCCATAAAGAAGAAAAAAGAACAATATTGAACCACCTCCCTTATTTCGCAATAATTAATAGCAGCGCTACCTACTGACTATTTGAAACACTAAATCAAGTTTCAAAAAAACGTCATATTACCCATATTCAAACAATATTTCCGTGCATATAAATAAAACTTTTGTGCTTCTCGTGATAAAGGTATCAGTATCAGTATAGCAGTAAAGATATCAGTAAGATTTAAGTAAAGATAAAAAATATATAAAAAACGCTTAAATGTATGTCAAAACAATGATATTAAACTCTGTTTTATTAACAATGATTTATTTTGTTATAACCGAAATTACATACATATTGCCTATCAACTTCTATTTTCCTTTAATGAGCCAATTGCACTTAGTTTTGATGGGTTGCTGGCGCTGCCATAGAAACCGTGTCGAAGCTGGTATTTAAACTTAAAGTTTCTTTTTTGAGTCAATAACAGTAATATTACATTATATTTGATTTAATAAAACGCAAAAGAATTAGTTAAATATATATTTAGATATGATTCAATATCTGTCGTGTAAAAAGTCAAAGATTCATGAGAAGTGTGCTAGTGTCATCAAGAGTATCAAAATTACTCGGCAAACTTCAAAGGAACTTAGTAAGGATGAATAATTAGTGCAATAAATAGTGTAACAAAAAATATTAATAGCTGGCATAGTAGTTGTTTCTTTAAATTGTTAAGCTTTCATGATATGGTTATTGTTTTTTATGTTAGTTTAAATAAGAATTCCTTGAGTTCTTCCGAATCAATTAAATTTGTTGCTTTATGGATTCTCCCGTTAAGGTTACAAAAAGTAAATAAACCGAATAATTATGTTTAAAGTAGGTTTTAAATATTCCTTGATAATAATGCGGAACTATTAAAGCAAACTTGCAGGTCATTGTTAATTTCAATTTTGAATTATATGCTAACTGCTGAGTCACGCCCTTTTAATTTTAAACATTTTACGGACTTTAATCATGGTGATACTCTGTGCACCGGTTGAATGAAGATGACCGGTTCCCTACATTAGATCATTTGCTCTAATTTTTCTTTTTCTTATATTTACTTAACGTTTTCTAATTGTTACGTCTATTTTTATAAGTGAGTAGCATTTAAAGTATTATTTGCATTTAACATTTAAAAAATGTCAAATTACCAAAACTAGAGATTTTAAGGAACGCATTCTACAGATTATCCAGCCTAATGTGCAAATTAACTAGGGTAATTCGTTGAAGAGCCAAAAAATTACTTCATTTCACGAATTATCTTAGTAATCTGCGAACTACCTAGATGCACTTCTTACTATGCACTTGTTAAAGTAAACTTAAGATTTTTGTTGGAACAACAGCAACATTTCTGTACGTTTAATTTAACATAATGTTATTTATTTATTTTTCGTTATCTAAGAAAATCAAGTCACTACAATCAAACAATCAACACATAAATGAATTGAAGAATTCATCAATCACTTTAAAAACTAAAATGCAAGGTATCAAAGGCCTTAAAATCTTGTTACAGTTAAGGATACTAACATGATGTCATTTATTTACTTTTTGGTATCTAAAGTCACTATAATCAAACAATCAACACATAAATGAATTGAAGAATTCATCAATCACTTTAAAAGCTAAAATGCAAGGTATCAAAGGCTTTAAAATCTTGTTACAGTTAAGGATACTAACATGATGTCATTTATTTACTTTTTGGTATCTAAAGTAACTACAATCAAACAATCAACACATAAATGAATTGAAGAATTCATCAATCACTTTAAAAACTAAAATACAAGGTATCAAATGCTTTAAAATCTTGTTACAGCTAAAGATATCAACATGATGTCATTTATTTACTTTTTGGAATCTAAAGTGAATACAATCAACAGATTTTTTTAAAATTATAAGCAAAGCAAACTCTTTAACTTCATCGATATGGAGCTTGTTAATGTGCACATTATCCCAATAAATTGCAGAAAACTTTTCGGTTTAACATATAAACCATAATAGGCAAACTAGTAAAATGTAGAAGTCAAAAAAAAAATAATTTGTTTTTACAAAAAAAATTTTATAATTTAAAACAATGAAGTAATACTGAACATTATTCTTACTTTAACAATTATTTCAAAACTCTTCGTTATTTTCCTGTCGACAGCTTTCAGTTGACGGATCCTTCCTGTATTAACATCAATTTCAAAGTATTCATCGTAAAACGATGGAGTACCTAGAAATAATTTTTATATTTGCATTTTTCAAGTAATTAAGAAAGAAAAATCCATATCTTTATAAATGAGAAAATTTGGCTTTGAAGCATTTTATTTAGAAATACTAACAATATTCATTTACTGAGAAATAAAATTTAAATAAATTTTTATTTTTCAAGAACTGTTACCGATGAGAAACAATATAATGCAACAGTTTCAAGTATAAAATAAATGTATTTAGATTTGAGGTTTTCTCTTAAAAAAGTAAACTAATAAGAATTAAATGAAAAATAATGACTAGTTCTTACCATTTACAAATGAATATCGTATCGCTGAATTTAATGAATCTCTATCTTTGGCTAATATTGGCTCAGGCAAAACTCGCAACAATCCAGACTGAAGGGAAACAAATAGAACTTTAAGAAAAAACTAGTATTTTTAAACCAATTCCAAGACAATAATAAACATAAAACGTAATTTAATAACATGAAATTTAAAAGCAAATATCTTTAAAGTGCAAGATAATAAAATATATTATTGGTAACCAAATCATTACACTGTATCAAATTACGGTAAATAGTACCGGCACTCAGGGTACAAGTGTATTTAATCGTAAAGTCCATTTTTACAGGAACGTATTACAGAGCGAAAAAAATCTGATTTATCGTAATTTTTACAGTAATATATACCGTAAAATAACTGAATTACTCTAATTAAATAAATATTACCATTCAGTAATATTTATTTAATTAGGTATAATATTTTACAGTACGTATTTTACGGTCTGTATTATAGGTATAATATATTACGGTTTAATATTTTATGGTAAATTGGATTCTACGGACGATGAACCCGAAGTGCTGGTATTTTTTAACCGCAATTTACTCAGGAATTTCTTAAACTGCAAATGTAATGCAATTTAAAAAATGAATTTAAATCCTTTAAAAATATTTTTTGTTGTTGGATATACGGGATACAGAATAGTAGTATTATAATCGAATTTTTTCATAGTATTTTTAACAGATTAGTTAAATTAAGTATTTGAAATGTATTTAAAACTAACAAAATTATTTAATTATGTTGTTATTTTAAATTTGTTGGAGAGATGATATTTAACTGTAAAACTTGCACATATTATGAATTATTTGATATGCATAACCAGTTAGCATCTGCAAATTTGAGCAGTAGAAAATATATTAATTTTCAGCAGTGATTATGACATGGATCTTTTCCTAATGTTATATTTCTTCAAAAGTAATTATAATCTTAACAACTAACTGCGAATTTTCAATGAAGACTATTTTATTTCAATGCTTCATTCAAGTGTTCTGACGTTTTCTGGGTAGGGTTCAAAATAACAGGACTATGTAATATGCTCAACACCGACAATAAAATGAAATTAATTAAGAATGATTTTCACCCTTTTATGTTGGAAATAATGAGATAATCTAATATTAGTTACGCATTTGGAAAAGTTAAAATAAAACTGTTGTACTTCCTTTTTATGTCTCTTATGAATTATATTTTTTATCGGTGTATCTAAAATCTCTAATTTTATTCTGAAAATGAGAGATTTTTACAATGAGGGAAATTTGAAGGCAAATTGTATTATACATTAGAAAATAAATGAAAAATTCACAGTGAAAAATCCATTAAACTGAAAATAATAACAAATTTTATATTGGAATGGATTTTATTTAAACTATGAAATTATTTATTATTATTTAAATTTACTGAAAAAAATCAAAGTTAGTTACATAATTTATGTTTTATAAAATGATAAAGTTCTTAAAATCTATAATTTTGTCTGCGGAAGAGAAACAAATCCTCATAATTTGCTTACATTTTAATGGCATATAGTGCAGAAAAATACTCTCGATATACTGAAAATTTTAGAGCATTTTTTTTCTTAATGCTGTATTCTTCAACCAAAGCTGATATAATGATCATTGTAATTTTTTTGATACCTTTCCAGTTTAAAGCATTTATAAAATGAAATATCTAAACGCATAAGACAACAATTACCATTACACCACTAGCTACCAGCGCCTTGTATTCAGGATTGACGCATGCACCATTTACCAGAGTACATGCATCATAAACGAAAGCGGGATCTTGATCATCCCCATCGGCTACACGTATAGTTAGAGTTGCTGTAGAGGTCAATCTTTGACTAACATCAGCTGCTTTATCCTGAAATTAAAACATATATGTTTAAATATTGACTTATCCTTAAACAATAAATGTGAATAATTAAAACAGACATGTTTTAATCATTCCTTAATGTATGAATTAACAGTATGAATTTTAAAAAAAATACGCTTTGAGCATTACTTATAAGAAATAAAATAAACTAACTAAATAATAACTGAAACGTGTCGTAATCACTATATCCATCATTAAATAGCAGAAGTAAAGAACAAAAACAAAATGTGGAGAATTTATAAAAAAAATGCTTTAAGCATTACTTATCATAAGAAATAAAATAAACTAACTAACTAAGAAATAAAATACGTGGTAATCACTGAATCCATTGCTAAATAGCAAAAGTAAAGAACAAGAACAAACATGTTTTAACCATTATTTATCCGTTATTATCATTAAATAGTAACCATTATTACCATTAAATAGTAAGTGTGGAGTTCTAAAGCAAATATTTTTAATCATTTCTTATCATTAAACATTACACGTGGAGAACTAAAGTATGTGTTAATCACTATTCAGCCTTAAACAGTAAATGAAGAAAAGTAAAGCAAATGCTTTAATCATTATTTATCATTCAACAGTAAGTGTAGGGTACTGAAATTAATATTTTTTTAATTATTTCTTATCACTAAACATTAAATGTGAAGAACTAAAGTGCTTGTTAATCACTATTCAGCATCAAGCAGTAAATGAAGAGAGGTAAAATAAATATGTTTTATTTATTATTCATCATTAAAAAGCAATTATAGAGAATAACAATAAATATGTTCTATTCTTTATTTAGAACTAAACAGCAAAAATTGAAAAATAAAGTATGCTTTATTCTTTATTTGTCACTAAACAGCAAATGCGGTGAACATATTAAAATTCTATTTATTTGTTTAGCATTAAAACCACAACTTACGTATGCCAAAACTGTTAAATAATAAATATTTGATCTCTCGTAATCCAACAGTTTCTTTACTGTAACAAGTCCTTGATGAGGAAGGTTAATGGAAAAGTACGAATATCCATCTTTCTGCAATATAAACAAATAATAATAATATTAAAAAGAATCCTTTTTATAAAGAGGAATAAAATATACACATAAGAGCTTGCGAATAAATAATTAGGTCAGATTAAAAACAAAAAAAAATTGTTTTATTTCCCAAGGAAACTATGAGGAAATGATTGATACGATTTTACTTTCCAGGGAAACATTTTCAAGTTTATTTCTACAATCAAACAAGTTTGTATCTTTTTAATTACACTTTCTTAACGGTGATTTGTCAGATTTTGATAACTTTTGTGTTTTTATTTGCTTTAATTTCAAAATACGACCTTAAATGTAAATATTTAATTGAATTAATTTTCAATAAAAATTCTGAAAGAGCATATTACATGTGGTGATTACAAAACATTCTATATAGATTTCAAATATTTTTTTACAACGCAAATGTACTACAAAACTAATGATTGCTCTTCTATCTTTAAACTGTTTTTAAAGATTGATGTAAAAACTTGTTTGAACGATTGAACAATGATAATTCAGTTGATGTTAAATGAAGTTATCTCACGTAAAGTGGTATTTACATCGAGCAAAACGAATGATAAAAAGCTTTTAAATGATTGCAGTCATTCACCATTTTAACATTTACAGACAGAAATTTTCTTTTTCAGTTTTTCTAAATTATGGTTAGAACAAGCCCATATTTTCTAGAAGAAAACACTTTTTTAATGATAACAATTTAGTTATCAGACATTATATGTTAGTGTGAAATACATGTAATATGAAATCACGTGGTTCAAAACTACCAATTCTTCAAAATAATAAACTAAGAAATATTTTTAAAAACTTTATCTGTTACAAACTATATCTGTTACAAAACACATACTTCTGTCGAGTCACCAGGTGCAGTAGAGTATTCAATTAGTCCATTACTATCGGAATCAGCGTCTGTTGCTGACAGATCTCTGTAAATAGTTGTTCCTATAGGTGTAAGCTGAAATATTTATAGGAGTTAATAATAATAATATAAAATGTGATGATGAGCTTTTAATTAAAATTGAATGAAAGTAAGAATTTTTTTGATTTTTTACCACATATATTTTAGAAAATAACAGACAGTTCTTCAAACGGCAAGGAATAAACAAATAGAATTAATGAATATGTACAAATCATATTTTAAATATTTTCATTTTAATGTTTAAAATAATATAATTCAATACCTTATTAATATATTTTAGAATTTGAACCCTTTATATTTATCATAGTTTCTTGAGAATATGACAAAACTTACTTTTAAAATTGTTTTATGTAGCAGCTTCAAAATGAGCCCCGAAATGTTTTAATTTATGAGCCCATGATATTTGATCATGCTCTTTTATTTACATATTTTCATATATCAGCTTGTTTTGTCATAAACTTGAAATATTTTTTAAAAAAAGTAACTTTTTGATCTAAATTTATTAACTTGTTTCTAACACTTGTAAGCATATTTTCCTTTCTTAATCTCAAAGAATTTTTTTCAGTGGAAAAGCTTTTTTTTAAAAATATGAATTGTATTTTGAAATTATTATAATCTAAAAAAATTATTTGTTTAATAAATTTAATACAGAACGCTTTTTTTTAAATCCTGTAATTTATTCAGTCGTTAAAAACTCATAACAACAGCACATAAAACATATTTGTCCAAAATTTAACTTTTTTTGGAAAAACCAATTTTATGTTAATTTTAAAATTAAATAAGAAGACTGTAACGGCAAAAAATAGTCAATTTTTTGTACTTAAATTAGTAAAAAATAAGCGAAAGTGTTATAAATTTATTTTTAAAATGACTGCTTATATTTTTTATTTCATTTAGAATGTATTACTATTTGTAATAAAATTGCAATATACCTCTGATACAGTAGTTTCGTATGTAGTTGACTTGAAAAGAGGTGGATTGTCGTTTATATCTCCAATCCTTATCACAACTGGAATATTTTTCTAGAAGTATAAGTGAAAAAAAATCCTAAATATTTTTCTTTATACATGATAGTTGAGCAAAGAATCAAATGGAAATTAGTAAACAGTTTTTACTTGTACAGAAGAAACAACATCAGTGCAGGATACTTGTAATCTTATCATTGTTAGCTTTTCAGCCTAAAATAATTAGAAAGAATTAATATTGGCTAATATGTGAAATGTGCTAACACATAATTTATTTGTTAGTCAGATTAATGTACTTGTGAACAATAAATGCATCCTGAACGTTTTTGTATTTCGTTATTATCTATGCTTTATTGTGTTGCTTTATTTTATTTCATTTAGCGTATAATATCAAACAGAAAAATCCAATTAAATTAAAAGAATTGAGACAGCTTTCTAAATACTCTTGTAATATATTAAAGTAAAGGTGATATGTAGGACTTTATTTTATTTTATAACTGCCGTTGAACAGCCAAACCAATTGTGAGTTTACGACTATCAGTTTTCAAATCCATACCCTTGTAAATTTGAGCCAAACCCAGGAGACAAGGGAACCCCTGGATCAAACAATGGGACAAATCCTTCTTTATATAGGACTTTTTTGAAAAAACAAACCTGCATTTGAGTAACAGGGAGAGGAAAACCTCGAAATCTCCCACGGTTAGGGAGTTCTAACCCATGACTCGATTACACTGAGAATATTTTATGTCAGCACTGTGGTTAGTGCTAGCCGGGTATGGAATTTTTACTAACCAGCCATCGCTGAGGCCATTGGGAGCCATCTTAGGTTTTCGTAATCACGATCAAATTAGAGAAATATAGATGACTACACATTAATAACACTAAGGGACAAATTTCTTGTGGCCTTTATACAAATACTTGATCTTGCCTAATTCGAATGTGGAGATTTCAAATCTAAAATTACTGTTCTGTTCCTTGCTCCTAAAGCTACAGATTCTTTTTAAAATGATATTTTTAGTCTATTTTTTTATCGAAGTGTGCAAGTTTAAAAATGTTATATAGAACAAAAGAGTGAGTAAATGTAATGACAAACTTCTAGAACAGTTAAGGCACATCATCCAGATTAAAATTTTATGGGAACTCATACACAGAAATGTCGTCTTACGCGGCTAGGCACGCTTACCTTTTATGAACTGCTTTTTCGGTGTGCTTCTGAATAGAGGATAATAGCGTATCTCTTCTAGTGACATATGACAACATATCCGGGCATGGATATATGGGATATATAGTTTTCTATGCAATTTTAATCCTGATGATATGATCTAACTCCGCTAAAAGTTTATCGCAACATATATGTAATTCCTTGTTATATATATAACGTTTTTAAAATTGCGTATTTAGACAAAAATAGACTAAAAATGTCATTAAAAAATTTTAGCTTTGAGAGAGAAGCCGAATGCAGATTTAAAATCAGCGACAGAAAAATATCTAAGTTCCGTTGAAAAAAAGCTCAGGCAGCAGAAAAAAAATTGCTTTCAGTGTGATCAAAAACGTATAATGTATCTTCGTGCTTATATCGGCACGATGTTAATTGGCGCATGCATGTCAAAAGGATGCATTTAAAATCTTTATAAATTTATTTTCAAAGAATACAGCAAATTTGTTAATTAAGGTCGGGGTAGCGTAGTTGGTAGGGCACTGGTTCCATATCCAAGAGGTCGTGCTTTCGATCTTCGCCAACCGAAGACTCCCCGTGTAGTAAATGGTGACTGATAAACGTAAAATCTATCGAATCACCAAGCCCTCCATGTTCCCATTACAAATCATACCTCAGGGGATATTGATCTAGGAGTTTCCTTGTCTTCTGGATTGGTTCGAAATTTCAAGGTTATGGAGTTGATCATTAGTAGTCGTAAACCCATAATTGGGTCTGCTGTTCAACGATAAAATAAAATTTGTTAATCATACTCTTCTCGTTTGAAACTTTTATTTCCTCTTGTTGTGAAATTTTCGTCCTCTTATTTTTGAGTTAAAACTTGCATTGCTTTTAATTATCTTCATATGTTAGTTTTTCGAAATGCCTGCTTGAACCTAGCGTGTAACTTTCAATGCAATTTCATCTACTATAAACGATTATTTTAAAGCATGTTTTTATGTATGCTTTAACATAAAAAAACAATGTGCGTTATTATAAATTATTCTGTTAGTTATCAAAATCTTGTTAAAGTAAAAATTGCTTTAATAGAATTAGACAAGTGTTTTTTTTTTTTTTTTTTTTTTTTTTTTTTTTTTTTTTTTTTTTTTTTTTTTTTTNTTTTTTTTTTTTTTTTGACTAAAAGGGAATATTGAAGGTATTTTTTTGCCTTTAAGATAAAACAACTTCACGATATAACATCCTATTCAACCGAATGACAAGAGTTGACTGCATAATAATACATTTTGGTTTATTTAGATGGAATGCTAGACATAAATTTCTTATTATAATTGAAAAATAAAATTGAATAAATGCTTACATCTCTATCGAGGGGTTTCTTTAGACGTAGCTGTTTACCGCTTATTGCAAAATAATCAGCTGTTGTAGTCTGTATGGCTAATTCTATTTGTGGGGGAAATCCTCTAATTGGAAGTTCATTTGGCACTGTGGTTTGATTTAATTCTGAAAAAAAATGATAGATATTAATATTGAATTTATGGAGAATGAAATACATCCAATTTAATTTCACCTTGTTTCTTACAATTTGCAATTATTTGGGTATAAAAAATTCCGCTTTAAGAGCAAATTAATATAATTTAAATATTTAAAAATGACAAAAACGAATGGTACATCCAGAATTTATCCTATTCAAAAGGTATAATACTATGGTATACCTTAGTATTGTTTCTAATAATACTATCGTAAATTGTGTATTAAAAATAAAATATTTAGGGGATATGGTATTGCAATTAGCTATTTTTATCCATATATAGATTTTTCAAAACCTTTAACTATTTTTTACTTAATGTTTTTTTCCTATGCATGTTCTTTAGTTATTGACTTTGTATGTCCTTGCCAAAACGAACTTGTTTTGGCATGGATAGCTGTTAAATAACATTTGATATAAGAAAAAAGCAAACTAATTTATGACTTTTAACTTCAAAATTATTTCAAACCATCAAAAACATTGTTACGATTTATCTATCTAATTACTTTAGTTAGGAAAATAATCTAGTAGCTTTTTTTATTTAAAAACTTGTATTTAAGAATTTTAATGAAAGGAAATTATCTACTCTTTTAAAGTTGTTAATGAAAATTCATATAATTTTTAAAAACATTTTCAGTATCCTCTTTCACGGTTTCGCTAAATTGAATTGCGTTTATTAATTATTTTTGCCATAAAAATATAACTGAAATTGCTTCAAATTTATATACTTTATAATTAATGAAATATAAGTCAATTGCTTAAAAGTATTCTTAAATATTTGATTTTATTTTCTTTGCTGTTTTTACACTGTTGGAATTTTTATTCTAAAACTACGGTTAAATAAACAGCAGAAGTCTTTCCAGCCAACTAACCGTAAAGTTTACGCCGAGGAACATTTTTTAACCTTTAAGGTTTTTTAATCGTTTAGCGTGGTTTCTAAGCCATGAAAATGATTGGACATTAGAGTTCGGTTATGTTTAGCTTTTCGATAGGTAAAGGACATTATAATTAGTTTGTGTTTTGTCAAATGAGCGTGGAATAAGGCTTAATTAGTTTATCTAGTAATGTCATCTATCATGAGAGATGTAGAATACTAGACTACTTTTTTGCGTAAAACAGCTGCGTGGTGCTGCTATCAGCGAGAAAGGAGTGTTTCGTATTCCATTAGTTGAAGAAATGGAGAAAATAATGTAGTGTCAACAGTGTTATTCGAAATCCCATTCAGCCGGTCATGAAACTGACCGCGAGTAGCCTTTACAGTTAAATTATGTACTCAGCTGCAAAGAATTAAGTGGCTATATAAGGTGTTCACCACCCACTTATCCATATGCTGATGGAAAATAAAAATAAAAATTCGTAATCCTTTTCACACGGCTTAGGCTGCAGTGTTCAAAAAATGTGAGCTTAATTCTCGTTAGGTGTGGACTTAGTAGGTGCTGATAAAATCCTAGTTGTTTAACCGTATTCGGTAAACGCAGACAATTAACAATTTTTCTCACAGTTAACAGATTGAATACCATTTTTTCTATAGCCATTTGAATATTCTAGTTTAATATGGTAAAACAGCAATTAAATAAATCGTTATTTCACCATTTCACTGAGAAATGTATTACAGTGTAGTTTGACTTTAATTGGTTGGTTGGTTGGTGTCGTATCCTCTGTAGAATCATATTTCATGGTGTGCTTGAATAGTTTTTGTTATTTCTATGGCATTAAAAGAATACAAATCCTCTTCTGTGGGGTAGTTTAAGAGGTGAAGGCCTGCAGCGACTGCAGGGCAGTTAAAAACATGATAACTTTAATTTGTTTTCATATATTACAGCTGGAAGTAGGAAAATGTTTAAACAAAAACATAATACAATAAAAAAAAAAAAATTTCTTTCAAATTTTATGCAGAATAAAAACAATTTAAAAATAAGCGAAAAGAGTAACATATACAATAATATAAATCGTTAAAACAAACTTAGTTTTTTTTATTAATCTCGATAACAATTATAAATTTTTTTTTTTTTTAAAATTTCAAATTTACAGTCTCGACATTCGATATAACAATCACATCCACAGCACAATAAGATATTTTGATTCAATATAAAAGATTTCATAATGTGCATTTTATTTTAAGATAAAGTATAAAGGACTTCTAGCTCTAGGATAATTATATATTTCTGTAAACCGGCATTTATTTATTTATAAAAACTGTGACCTTCTATGCTACAATGGGTACCATAAAAGGAAGTTAAATCTAATGACTGTGTTATGGAAAACAATACAAAATAATAAGCACATCAATTTGTCTTTAAAAATATCCGGTATTTTAATTTTTCGGTTAATTTCTTCTCAATAGCTTGAAATATTTCAGGTTAGCAAAAGGAAATATATAACTCTTTTTTGTATATATAAAGACGGCAGTTTCTTAAGACATTCTTTCTTTAAGTTTAAGCGTTAAGAAATTTTTTTAAACAAAATTTATAAAACCTTTCAAACTAAAATATTAACCAATTATCCGTTTGTATAAGTATATATGGTGATAATTTATGGGATAAATTCGTTCTAAACCTTTCATAAAATTTAAATCACTTTTGAGTTGCATTGCTAAAAGCAAAATTAATATTGATTTAACAAATTATAAAACTGCTTCTGAAATCAAGTAATCGAAGTTACATTGCTAATTTTACTTTATATTTTTACTGTTAAATAATAATGTAACTGTTATAATACAATAAATAAAACATTACATTAATTTCATTTTCTGTGAAATAATTTACGAAATAGTGACTACGTGATTGTGCTATCAGGTTTACTTAAAATTACAATATTAAAAGAATATTGCGAAATAACTTTCCTTTAAACTTCTATAAAACTATTTCTTGATATAGGGCATGAGAATAATTTTGAAAATTTTATGTTAGTCCATTTTTTTATATTAATTGTTGTTAAAGACTCAATAGTATTCAACCATCATTTTTTAAATTTAAACATATAAAATAATAATTTTCAGCATTAAAATAATATGCAAATTGCTTTTATATTGCTAACACATTAATTTATATTAAACACTTTTATTATTGATAAAAGTGATAAATTAAAATCAATAAAATTATTATTTATATATACTTTAATGTTTACTAATATTAGTATTTATTTGCTAAAGACTTTACAGTTGACGATATTTACACAATGCTACAAGAATTTTTATATAAACGAAACGTCATAAAATTAGAAATATTTAAGCAAATGCTGATCATCAAATATACTTACGATTTCCTCTACTTTCTAAAATATCCATAATAATTACACTCTCACCAGTCTCAATCTCACATTCTAGAAAAAAAGTTTAAAAGACAGTTATAACTAAAATGATAACCAGTTAATCATGAAATGATTAATTAATAAAAATAATAATCTAAAAAATCGTAATCTAAAAAATAATAAAATATGAGGTCCAACTAAATATTTAATCTTTACAAGAACGAGTAAAAAGTATTTCCTTAGTTACAAATTTAGAATACAAAATGATAATATATGGCTCTCTAAATTACGAATTTCGTAAACGGAAGAACAAAGTACATTCAATACTTAAAAGTATAAATTCAATATTGGATAATAATTTTTGAATTAATATGTTAAAATACTGTATAAGTGTGAATCCAAAATAAGCTATTCTTCGTCCAAACAAAGAAACCCCTATATAGAAGTGAATAAATAAATAAATTCCACTTATCCCCATAAAGGATACATGCAACAGATATCCTAGCTTGATCCATCCGGGTACAGTATTTATAAGACACTTGAAAGCATTGTTTAGGCCCACTTTGCATAAGGAAAATAAACAGTTTAATTTGACTTAACTCCTAATAGCCATTTTAAACAAGCGATGGAAATGTGGACAGACTATTGATATTCTATTAGGTAAAAGGTATAGGGATCAAAAGGTTAGAATTGCATAACAAATGGTAAAATAAATNAGTTTCCATTTGTTGTTTTTAATGTTGTAATTATTATTATTATTAATTATAATATTTTTTTGGTAATGGATCAATTTTCAGATGAATTTATTCTATTCTTTTTCTTTTCATTCTGTTTATGTAAAAATAAATGTGTGCTTTTTACATTTTTTCTCACTTCTTTGATCTTTTTTTTTTCAATTAGTAATATGGTAAAATTTACCATTTTTTTGGGCTCTTTGGTAACACCGAAAAGTATAGTAATTTTAACCGAGGTGCTTTGGTAATGATTTTTAGAAAATTAATTAAACAATATGGATTTATTAATATGCTGTTCGGTTTGTCACCATGCTGGGGCGAAATTTGGCAATTTTCACGAAAAATTCTTTAATTTTAACAGAGCTAGTAAAATTTGAAATTACTCAAAAATGTACAATTTAATAACTTATTTTATATTTAGTAAACTTTTTCTGGCTTTGTTTTTAGCCTGTGAGCTGTTCTTGTTTTTGCGTAAGCTGTAAACTAATGTCTACCAACGTTTAAAACCATAAAAGAAGTGTATTGTAAGTATACGAATGTCTAAAATAGGCTGAACTAAATTTTTAGCTTGATTGCTACGCAGTCCAGGTAATATTATTTTCTTTATTTACATCACACTACAGCTGTACAACGGGTTATTGGCGACTGTATGAGAAACATCCCTATGAATGGCCCTTAAAATATGCCATCACAATTTTGATCCTTTTCTGCGGAGAGCTTCTCCCTGTTTAGTAGCCGGATGATCTGCGCGCGAAGTTGAGATCCTTATTGTAGAACAGGACAAAAAACAGCATAGACTATGATAAAACAGTTTAACGAGGACCGGTTCCTTTGCAGGTTTCAAGATGCTCATAGACTTTGTAATAATAAATAAATTAATTTGGTATAGATAAATGCACAGGCTCATGTGCTTAATACAAAGAATGGTTCGTCTCTTGTCAAATTGAAAAACAGATAGAAATCAGAAAGGCAGTACAATATTATTGAAACCGTGCTACCTCTAAGTTTTAGAACATTTGCTGGAAGGAAAATTTATTCTTAAAGTTTGTCCCTAATTTGAACCATTTGTTTTTCAAATTGAAAAAAGGTTTTTAGCTATTCTTCCTCCTTACAAAGAAACCCATATATATGCAAGTGAATAACTGAATAAATCCCACATATCCCCATAAAAGATGCATACAACAGACATCCTAGCTTGATCTATCCGGGTACAGTGCTTTTAAGACACTTAAAAACATTGTTTAGACCTATTTTACACAAGGAAAATAAATTTGACCTAACTCCTAATAGCCATTTTAAACAAGTGATGGAAATGTAAACAATCTATTGATATTCTATTTGGTAAAAGGCATAGACATCAAAAGGTTAGAATTGCATAACAAGTGGTAAAATAAATGACACATCTGAAGAATCGTTTGTTAATTTTATCAGAAATTTTATCAGAAATCTTAGAGCATGGCATAAAAGCCATTTATTTGGTTAAGTTTACTTTCAAGTTTTGACATTTTATCATGTGTTATCATAAGAACTATAATTTTGAAAATCAGTATTTCTGATAAACCTTAACATATGAACGAAAAATTACGCAAATCAACTGTTTAAATACCTACTTTTGTTTCATCATCAAAATAATGTTTTTTTATTTTTATTTATTTATTTATTTATTTATTTATTTATTTATTTTTTTGAAAATGAGAAATATTATTATTATGCAAGTGTGGTAATTCTTCTACAATTATTGCTCGCAGTGTGTAAACACATAACAGTTTAAAAAATTTTGTTATTTGAAAATAGCTGTGAAAATAGCTATATTAACTAAGTACTATATTAAGTAAGTACTTTGATAAAGTCCATATTTATAATACCCTTTGATAATATCCAAGTTAATATGGAAAACAAAAGCAATATTATTTATTGAAGAATAATTTTTCTTTAATACATTTTGAACACAAAATTTGCTTGTATTTTACGGTGAAAAAACTTTTTCAGCATATACTTCATAGTTTGCATTATATACTTCATATCTACCAGATGTCTTTTTTCAAAAAAATCTAAGTTTTTGAATATCATGGCGGTGAAGTGAAACTTGCCATTAAAACTTTCTCTCGCGGTACAGCTCAGGAACTGAGGAACGCAACGTAATGCTATATCTCCAAACGGTGATCTCATGATAACCCTACGTTTGAGGGACTTAAATCGCAAAATAACAGTTGGACTATACAATACAGTCGGACTTAAGGGCTCTTTCCTGTAAGTCCATCTGTTATTATCTGATGCTATTTTCCACCTGGTTCTCGAGTTTTGTGGTAGATTTTAATACCCGCTGCCTTCTATACATGTATTTGGACATTTTAAAATCGAAATAACAATAAAATTAAATAAAATTGTAAATACTCACGACTTTTACAACAACTTAGAAGTAACCAGAGGGAAGAAAGGAGCAGCAGAAGCCTCTCTGGTGCTGCCATCTTTCTTCCTTTCCTAAAAACGAAAACAAAAGTGAGATGAGAATAATATTTAATAATATTTGCATGCAATGTGTATGTTTAATGAAAAGTAGCAAATTTATTATTAATGATTACTGAATGACTTTGCAACTTATAATAATTAAATAATACATTTTTTAATAGAACCACTCTTCGAGAAGGCATCAAAGCATAATAACACTTTAATTTTATTTTCGGAATAATCAAAGAAACTAATAATCCTGTACTATTTATCTATTTTACTAAATAAAACAACGTCTTAAAAAGTAATTCCTAATTCAAAAAATAAAAATAAAAGATTTTTGAATTACTTAATGTTATTAATATGTAAGTTATAGGTTATGATATGGGAATAATAAACCATAATTGTAATGGATAGGTTAGAGCAATATAGTGAAAAGTCAACCTTTTTGCGACGATGTTATCCTTACTTTAAACATATCCTTAGTATTATTTTTAGATGGATGCCTTAGAAATTTCTGTATATTTCATGTAGTAACAAAATAAGTTCTTAAAGTACCTTAATACAAATGGTTAAGATTTATCCCAAAACTTGCTCTTAAAAAACTCTCATAATCTGCTTAAAAACGTTGCTTATTATAACATTTACTCAAGATTTTTGCAAATGTTTTTTTTACTTCAATAACAATAAATGTTAATACAAACTAAAAAGAAAATTATGATTTAAGGAAATATTTTTTTTTCAAAGCAATTTCACTGCAAATGAAGAGAAAAGGAAAAAATTATGAAAAGAAAAGAATTTAAAGAATTAGATCAGAAAGAATTAGAAACAATAGAAAGAATAAGAAAGATTAGAATAGAAAGAATAAGATAAGAAAAAAATTGGAATGGAAAGAATTTTAAAAAATTTTATTCATATATTAGGGGGACCAGAAAGTAATGTCGTTTCGGTGCATTTGGTATTTGTTGCTAAGATTTTATTTTTAAACAATAATGTATTCACTCTTTTTATCAACAAACTTTCAATACCGAATCAAAAATGAATCGAAATAAGTCGAGAAAAGAAATGAATAGGTTTTTAAGACCAACGAATATTTAATGCACGGAAACGACATTACTTTCCGGTCCCCTAATATTTACAATGGTCACTAAACTTTCAAATGATAATTTTAAGTAATTCATTATACTATTCGATACATAAACAAGGCAACATAAAAATAAATGAGCGAAACACCATTGGTACTCTTCAATTCCTAACCATGCAAAATATCAGTTTGTTTTGAAATCTGAACAAAGCTTATGGATTTTTGAAGCTATAGCTAATATATAATGAAGCAAAACAATAGTTAAAGAACTATTGAGCCAAATATTTGTGAAGGTCATTGTTTTTTTTAAAAGCGGAAACGAGTTCATATAGAGATTCTTAACATTTTATAAGTAATGTTTTGCTTGATTAATTTTGCTGTGGTTTGTTGAAATTTTTCTTCGAAAGTTATTGGCTGATATACTAGTAAATAAACTAAATATTTTCTTATTTTTGCTGAATGGCAGAATGATTTAAAAATCAAATTTTTGTAGCTTTGTTATTAGAACCAATTCTGCTCGGAGAAAAAATGTATGGTCAAAGCTACCAAAATATGATAAAATTTAATGTTCTTCTTGCTTTATGGGATCACCAAAAAGATTTGTAATTTCTTCCGAAGCGATCTGGTAATGATTTTGGAAAAATTAACAATAAAATATAGTTTTATATTAAGTAAATGTGATAAAATTTAGTAATTTTATCATGATACTTAAGAGCATGCACAGTAAAAAAAGGAACAAAAAAAAAAAAAAAATGTTTCCGAAAATTTCAATGAACTTCAGTGGATAGCATGTTTCTGATAAATTGAGAAAAATTTTTTTTTTTGAAAAGTACGAAACTGAATCATATTAACGCCTATTCGGTTTCTCAGGTTTCCAAAGTATTCAGGAACGTTTCGGGATTTTTTTTTTCATTTTGTTTTAACAGTTCGGCATAAAAACCATTCATTCGGTTAAAGTTACTCTTCACTATTGTATTGTTAACTAAGTATAGTGCAATAAAACTATAATTTTGAAAACCAGAATTTCCGTTAAACGGTTACCATATGAGGGATAAAATTATCAATGAATGCTTTAAATACCGTATATTTTGGTTTTTAACATCAGAATTGTTTTTTTTTTAATTAGAAATTTCAGTACAATAGAGTGCGATAATTTTACTGGAATTCGTTTCTCTTTGCTCCAAAAATAAATCTCTCTAAAAGAAAAGCTTCAGTTAAAAGAAGTGGGTTTGTGGTTGATATAAGGTATTTTTCTTATTATAGATTAAGCCAGCTCACTCAAATTGAATTTAAAATGAACTAGTGTATCTATTTTAGCAATCTAAGTGATCAGGTGTTATCTTTCAGTTAACAGCTTCATTACCACTATGCTTTTAAAACCTTTTTCAAGATCATCGGGCTGGAAAAATACGTGACTGGTTTCATCAGCACTTATATACTCTATTACAACTCGATTGTAGTATTACCTGACTTGGATCCCATTGAAAAATCGGCAGAGCATTTTGAAATATCAGATAAAGCACCAATTATATTTCCGATATTCGGTAGATGGCTTGAGGCTATAGTTAATTGAGACGTATTTGCTTAACCTTGCAGATTCACTTCCTATCCATAACAAAGTTGGTTATCAGATCCTGAGATGGTGTTATGAGGTATTTAAGGATGCTTATGACACTTTAGGGACTGGCTAAGTTTTACTCAGCTTTTAAATTATCTTAACTATTAAATTTTGACGAATTATTATATCATTAAAAATAGTAGCAAATAAATTACCTCTGTAAGCTTTCTATTTACAATATGCTCTTAGGACTTATGATTAATATTCGGGTTTTTGAATTCATAATAATTAAATGACTCGTAAACACCAGTGCCCCTAAAAAATCATTTTTTTAATATATTGAAGTGATACACAAACTTTTGTAAGTTTTATTCTCGATGAATGAAAATTTTGATTCATATTTTAGTGAATTTAAGTAAATTTGCTTTTGAAATTTATAGATTGCATTTTTGGAGTGTGAGAAACTAAAGATTACGACTTCCTTTTCTTTTTGTACCGATTGACCAAATTAATGCATAATACGCATCACACCATTCAAGCCTAACTGTTCATGCTCGTGTCGTTTTAATATGTTATCCAAAGCGAGACTTTTAAAATCTGGCGTCTGTTCTTTGTCGCCAAATGCACTTGAAACATTCTTTAGCTCCAAAAACACTTAAAAACTGTTCCATAGCATTTCCATCCACAGCGATATCCGACATTTAATGACTTGTTCAAATAAATCAATAATCAACTATGAATAAGATTTTAAAAAGACACTTCCTTGGGAAATCAAATTTTTTTCCTTCTTTCTATAAACTTTTAATTATAAATACATAATAAAAAAAAATCGAAAAAAAAAACTGTTTGAACAACGTGATTTTATTATTTTGTTTACATTCATTTTTTACTGAAATTGCCTATGTTTTTGCCAATGTTTTGTGAAATAATGAATGACTTCCTTAGTATTTTTTGAAATTTTATATTTTTATTAGAAAGTGAAGTATAAGAAATTAAGGAATTAAATCAGGAAGATAATACTATTTACTCTAGAATTATATTTTCAATTTTATTTCTGACAATTATCAAGCTCGAATAATACAATTCCAAAATCCGTTTTGTACTCTTTAAGTTGTAGTAGCCTCCATATATTTTAGAGATATCACATTCCTTTCTTATATTTCCAACATAACATATTCTTTCCAAATATTTTCGAGATAACATATTCTTTCCATATATTTCAGAGATAACATATTCTTTCGATATACTTTCGAGATAACACATTTTTTCATAGATTATCCAGGTAACATATTCTTTACCTATATTTCCAGTTTTTATATTTTCTAAAAGTTCAAACTTAAGTATTAAATCTTTTCATTAAATAACTGTCTAATATTCTGAGATAACATATTCTTTCCATATTACATTATCTGAATAGAGGAAATAAATGTTTAGCTTTAGTTTTAGAACAAGTGAATAAAGGTTCTCGTTTAACAACGGAATTGCGATCTTTGTTACGATACTTCAGAATTTTACAAAATGAAGCTTGATGTATTCCAAGATGAACCAGTTTTTATATTTTCTAAAAGTTCAAACTTAAGTATAAAATCTTTTCATTAAATAACTATCTTATATTTCTGAGATAACATATTCTTTCCATATTACATTATCTGAATGGAGGAAATAAATGTTTAGCTTTAGTTTTAGAACAAGTGAATAATGGCTCTCGTTTAACAACGGAATTACGATCTTTGTTACTGTACTTCAAAATTTTACAAAATGAAGCTTGATATATTCCAAGATAGACCAGTTTTTATATTTTCTAAACGTTCAAACTTAAGTATTAAACTCCTCTCATTAAATCGCTATCTAGTGCTTAGAATGAAGCATATCCCAGATTAACAAAAGATTTTTTTTTTCATCACGGAATTCAATAACAAACGATAATCAAAGGGGGTGCACAAGGGGTGCGTGCACAAATTCTATTTCTGTTACCGAGGTGTTCCGGTACATCGAAAATCCGGAAGTATCTTCTCGCTTGCTTGCATCCCCGACTTTCTATTTTGCGATGTCCATTGTGCCCATCCAATGACCCATTTAGATTTTTCGTGTGTCCAGGCGCCAATCGTCTTTAACGTCACGTGCCGAACTAAAGTCTTCCATAGCTTTAAATTCACTCGGACCTATAGTTCCAGAACTTACATGTCAAATGAATTCAGATGAGGGATATTTCTGTATGGTTACGGAAATCGTTTGAAAGTGTTTAGCAACTCTAAATTTACAAGCTACCCAAATTTGATTACTATTTTAATAGCAGAACTACGATGACACTACAGAATAATCGACCATGACTATTATAATAGTATTTGATTACTGGCATAATCGCAACAAATCGAGTTCGAATTCCAACGATGGCTGGTCAATATGAATTCTGCTCCAGACTCG